TTTGTTATACTGTAGTAAGATTTTCGAAGCATTTTCTCCAGAATGTTTCTACCAGGACATTGGAATAAGTTTGTTAGCACGAATTTTTATTTAATGAAACATTTTCTTAATCCTCACGGAATTTCACGCGTAGATTTCATAGGGAAATTTTGCGTTTGAAAAGCAGGTGAAAAGTATCAACACCCATAAAGCCCTTCTGCTACATAAAATTAAAAAATATATATATATTGTTTGAGGCACCACTGGCACTAAAAATGTAGTTCTTTTGGAACCAAATTTTCCGATAATCTTCGGAATATTTGAGTGAAATAAAAATATTAAAAAAGCAAATTGAAGCAGGCTCATGTAAAATCTTGATTCACCAAGAATAATTATTTCATATTGCAGCTTTTACTTGAACAACTCATTGCTCACCAAATAATTGATGTTGTAGGGCAACCTTCGCAGGCTCAGCATCACTAACACAAAAATGTTCTGGATCAGAACCTTGTTTGCGTTATTGAACATGATTGTAACATCATAAAACTAAATTATAAAACTACGAAATAAATTTTTATTTTTTTGGAATTTGCTTGAAATATTTCATATTGCACTTGGACCACCTGCAAACTCGTGACATGCAAGCGTGGCAAGGCGAACCAAATTACCTCACAGTGCCGGGGGGCAACTCTGTGTCATCTGTCCATTTCAACCTATACAAGGGTGGGCAAAAAAATTGGAACAGTCGTCAAGAAATTATACAATACTATTGCTGTGTAATAACTAATTTCATCTCCGATCAACAACAAAAAATCTCGACAATTTCAAACCATCATACTACAATATTAAACTTCTCTGAACTCCAAGGTAAAAATTTTAAAATTTAATTTAAAGGTAAAACATTTTCGTTAAACTTGAAAATGGTGCAAAAAGCCAAAAATACACTTAGGCTTTCTGAAACTGCACTTTGTAAACGCTTTTTGCATAATTATCAAAAAGGTGATTTCAAACACGGCCATATAAATGAAAAGCGTTGGTTTAATCCACAAAAAAGTTTAAAGAAAAAACTCTGTAATGTTAAAGCAGGAAGAGCCGTTTAAAATATAAAAAAATTGCAGAAAAAATACTTAAAAAAGAACTGTGTTACTTTAAAATGAGTGAAATGTATTTAGAATTGTTAAAATTAGATTTCATTTTGCCAAGAGCATCCATGAAAAAAAAAAGCCTTAAATTCCTAAAAATGCTCAGTCGAAAACCTCTCAAAAGAATTAAAAATGAGATAAATTGAAAACCGATGCTTGACGGGCATGTATTTCTTTTAACAAAATGAACTCTAAAATTGTTATTTATTTTCTTTTCCGCTTTAAGCACACGGTGCTTTTTAGTTACACTGCGGTACAGAATTTACAAATTTAATATCTGTCAAATGTCTCATTTTTTGGCTTTTTTCCATTCATTCATCTCGGGTTCATTAAGTGAACTTATATTGTCCGAATTTTAAAGTTAATTCCAATTAAATAAACTACAGTATATTTAAAATTTCGGTGAGAATCTTTATTCAGAAATAATAAAAAAAGATTGGCTTGCAGCAGGAAAAAAGGCTGATGAGATTTCATGTACGTAAATTCTACGCAAAATCCAACTCGTTCATTATTTTGGGACTCCAGCCCTCGGCCTGTTCAAATTCAATGGCGCAATTATTTTTATGGCATGCCAGACTCGCATGTATAGCATTGTCTTATTCGGACCAACACGAATTCTTGAAGCTCATACTGTACTGTAATATTACCACGTTCAGTTTCTTTATGGCAAAAAAAATCCACAGTCCAAAGCCAGATATAACTCAAAAAAATTATACAGTGATACCCCCACATGCGGACGCCTTGACATGGGGACAATTTTGACATATGGACATTTATTTTTCAATGAAAAAATCATGAGAAGGCCCTACATATGGACACTGACTTGACATGCGGACATTGCATGATAAAATTGCCTAACAAATGTCAGCAAAATTGAATTTTATTAGGCTTAATTGCAAGAACCAGATATTTCCAACCGTAAGTTCTATGCAAGAAAAATTCTTTGGTACTTTTCCCATTCATCCAGCTAATTGAAAAAAGTACCTATAGCACAGAGAGACTTTGTCCTTCCGTCTTTGTGACTTGAATGTTATTTTTACCAATGCCAACATTTCAATTTACAGTACAGAGATACACTATTCAATGCTCCACATGTTCTTATTGGATTGAAAAGATATTCACAGACTAAAATTGGCACACAAAAAATTCCATGGAATTCTGAAGAATATTTCTTCCAAATAACACCAATTAAAAATTATATAAAGTAAGTCTATGGGAAAACAAGACTTGACTTAAGGACAATTCAACTTAGGGACACTCTTGATGCACCAATTACGTCTGCATCTCGGGGTCTCACTGTACTTGCTGTCTGTTAAACGAGGCACCATCATCATCATCATCATGGCGCTATATATATTGCAGTTTTTATTTTATTTTTTTCCTTTTCCCCGATATGAAAGCCATCAAGACAGGTTTTTTTTTCTCGCGTGGCGTATAAATATATATACACTATATATATATATATATATATATATTTATATATACAGCAGTATATTTATATTCTCGACAAAATATAAACAAATAAAAAATGAAATAAAATGAGACGATGGAGGAAAGGAGGAAAAGAGAAAATGAGGTCAGAAGACCTACGTGATGGAGTGCGAGGCGATCTCGTGACCCCGTCTGTGCATGTCTTGCACGGCAGAGTAGTTGGTGTACTTGTGGGACACGAAAAACGTGCCCCGGATCCCGCATCCGTTCGGGTTCACCCGCTGTCCGTTGAAGATCTCGTTGTAGAGCTCGATGTTGGCCACGTTGATGGCGTCGTCGAACGTCACCGTGACCATTTGCGGGATCCGCTGCGGGTCCAGGTTCCCAGGCACGGCCGTGCCGTCCAGCGAGCAGAAGCACTCGGGGATCGTGCAGATCTCCGGGTTGCACACCGGGGCTCGGTTCGGGTCGTTGTTGATGTCTATATATACCGTGTATAAAAAAGAACACCGGCCATGTGCGGAACGATGAGGCACAAAAGACAACAACAAAATATTCGATGCATGAAACACACCAGCACATCCCCGTGGTTGTGCATTAATTTGAATTGAAAAAATTATATTCAAAATTATTTTGACAATAAAATTCAAAAATTGGAATGCTGAATTTGAAGTAAAATGGCTTAAATTGAGTTACATATATATTTTTAGGCTCGTCTGTCTTTATTGCGAATTAATCCTTAAAATTGCTCGAATTCTCTCTTAGGCATGAAGAAGAAAATAATAACTGCAAAATCATTCGAAAGCATTGAGAATAATCTTGGAAGAACTCAAGAAGACAATAGAAACGATGCATCCATCAAAATACTCTATCACACCAGCATCGTTATGTGTATTAATTTGAATTTGAAGTTTGATTTAAAATTATTTTGACACCATAGAATTAAAAATTGGAATTGCAATGATTTTTAAAATTTGAATTAAAATGGTTTTGAAATTTGAATTGAAATGACTTTTTAATTTGAATTGAGATTATGTTGAAATTTTAATTGAAATTATTTTGGAATTTGAATCGAAATGGTTATGAAAGTTTCAATGAAAGGATTTTGAAACTTATTTTGAAATATCAATTTACATGATTCTGAAAGTCGCAGTGAAGTGATTTTTGAAAATTAAATTTTGAATCGAAGGATTTGAAATACAGTAGAGTACTTGTACGCGGTACTTCTCTTCCAGAATCGCGTGACCTCAGCTAAGTGGGTTAATTTTGACCAGACTGTTATTGTCTCGATAAATATGAGCCCTCAAAAAAAATGCAGCGACCATATTTATTCAAGTACCAAGCACCCTGGATTTTTAAACCCACGATTTTGATCAGAAAAAAATACCTATCCTTGACTAAAAGACACTCACGAACGTGGCGCACCCCAATTTTAGTAAGTGGAAATTTCAAATATACTGTATTTTTAAAATGTCAAAAGCCACCTTCACAGCCACCACATTAGCGGCTGTTGATGAAAATGGCGGAATTACCTCGGAAGACCTGGAGACACCCCTTGGAATTAATGCCACTCTGATTTCAAGAATTCTGAGGGGAAAGCTGGGCTACAGAAAAAAAATAAATAAATTCTGCAGGAAGGGCGCTTCATCTTTTGAGTGGAAAGCAAAACTCTCTACCAGGGTGAATTTTGCAAAACATTCCAAAGAAATTCGTTGTCAAACGGGGCTGATTTTTTTTTTGGCGTGCCAAAGAACATGTTTTCCCTAAAGAATAATTTTTTTTTCAGCTCGATTATACCCCATTTTAATTTATAATCCCAGAACTTTCGTTAGACCCCTCGTATATATGTACTGTATATACTGACACATCGCATGACCCGATGAGGAACACTTACCGCATGAGGCTTCGTCCGAACCGTCGGAACACTGTTCGGTACCATCACAGAATTGCTTTCTCGGAATGCAAGTCGAGTCCCCGCAAGCCAAAAAGTCCTCCTGCAAAAAAATAAATAAAAAATACATTCCCCCGATTGGGATTTGAACTATTTCCGCATTTACGCAATCGCACAGCGGGGCCGCTAGAATTATTTAACCAGTGCTTTTCGGGGAATAAAGCATCACGCGTACGCGTATAAGACCTAATAAAAATGGGCGAGTTGAAGAAATAAATGCATAATTAGAAATACTCGCTAATTTTCCAGGGGAAAACAAAAAAATCCTGATCGCTTCTGTAAATTCAGATAATCTCTAGCATTATTACCTGTGTATGTTTGAAACAGCGATGCGGGCGATTGCGAGAATTTTATGGACCAAAAAGTCCTTCTATATCGAAAGTAAATGCGGTTTCCCTATATTTATGCTCTATTGAATAAATAAAACTGGAATAATTTTTCGAGCGATTTTCAGGGAAAAATTCCATACAGGCCACACACGAAAAAAAAAAATTAAAACGTGAGAAATGCGTGAGGACCAATGCATAATGGCAAACCTACCAACTTTCACCACAAACACACAAAAAAGGTACTTTCCTGTTACCTCAGTACCCGTTTTTCTTTGTCTTGTGAATTCAGTATTTGTTAGGTTAGGTTAGGTCAGGTTCTGTTAATTGAAAGATATTTGTAACTAACATAGCCTGACCTAACCTAACTTCACCTAACCGCCTCCCAAAATCAGTTTTTGCTTTCTTTGGGTTTCTGTACATCCATAAACCAATATAAATAATTGTGGTTGCAATTTTATTATGTGACCTACTCCGCAATTTTTCACGCTCAGAAAAATCGCCGTATCTTGCTTCGGATGTCTGTGGAAACTTGCAATAAAAAAAGATGACTTTTTTTCAATTTTTCTTCAATTTCATTGAACATTTTAGGAATCCCTGCAGGGAGTCATCAATAAAGGAAAAATACGGCCATACACAGCCATGAAAAATGGCAAATGCTGCTGATTATATTTTGTAAATATTAAATTCAGTAATTCAAATAAGTGAAGTCCGAAAGAATCTGTCAGAGGTGAGGTATGAGAATTATTTAAAATTCACTGGGATACACGACCATTATAAAGTAGAGTACTGTACTTGACTACAGTACTGCATCTCTGAGCAATGCTGCAATCCAGTTTTTCAGTGCAACTTCCGTTGAAAAAAAGGCGGCCCAAATTAATCGAGGAAATACTTCAAAAAAATTACCCTGTGTGACATTAATTTGCTGTTGATTATCAGGGAGTTGGTGGGAAAATTTGTCTAGTCTGGAACCGGCCTCGAATTATTCAAGACAGAAAAACAGGAGGCTTGTCGTTCTTGGTGCTGAAGGAATCATAAAAAAAATGTGACGTGAGAAAAAATTGCGCTCGGACAATTTTTGCTTTACAAATTAATTAAAATTATGTTTTAAGGGAATTTTTGTTGCAACAAAAAGCTTCAAAAAGGTGCTTATGGAAACACTAATGTGTACAGTTTACGCAGCATAAACAATGTAGTTATGACACACTTCAAAGATTAATTAGTTACAAAAAATCAATGGTTTTTCCAGTTTTTCCTCAAAACAGCACAATGCATGAAATGCTATCCTCTTTGAAAAAATATCCAAATCCTTACTCACCGTTTAAGCATTTAAAAAAAGAGACTAAAAAAAATTCAAATATAGTATCGCTTTTTAAATAATAATAAAAAATCGGGATTAAATCATTTTCTCTCTAGGGAAATTCTACTTTCCCTGTCTCGAAAAGACACAGCTCCAAATTTTTAGTGAAGTACAGTA